GGGGGGGGGTACGGGATGTAGGTCATGGGGCCATATGAGAGGAGAGCGGGATCGTCGCGTTGGCGCCATCTTCTGAGTTGATCAGTGCGATGGTATACACAATTAATGGGAATGGACAAATTATTCATCGAATAGAATAATTTTTAATTTTATCGCATGCAAATAATGATGTGCACGAAATTGCATCTTCGGACAAAATCGTTCTTTACTGTGTAGTGTGTATGAAGAACCACAAGACCCCGACCTGCATGCTATTTCGAGAAGCAAAGTCTGCCTGGTCTGGCAACGTCACTGTAACACACATACAAAAACCTCCGCTCCGCTCCCTCCTGGGCTGCCTTTTTCTCCTGGCATACACACAGCGGGAAGGAGAACATCCACGGCGGATTTCCGTCCAGCTATTTGGGCCTGATGTATTGGCATCCTTGACGCTATGGTCCGCTTTCAGGAGCTGGGCCAGGGAACCAGTTGGAGGGAGGAAGAGAAAGGCGAGACAGATAGCGGCAGCGGAAGAGAGACGGCCAGAGACAGAGAGGTATAGAGAACGCGCGGTGCGGGTTTTGACGCTGTTGCTTCAAAGGCGGCAGGCGGCGCCGAGGCGGGGCGGTTCGAAAGGCGCGTGAATACCCCGACCACCAGAGACATTCCATTGGGATGGGATGCTGTGTGCGGTCCTTCCCACCAGCCCAGACACGCCCTCACCGCGCTTCCACGCCTCTGTGACGTACCAGGAGAACTATTGTTCGTGCTTTCCATCCAGTAAAGTACACTGATAAATGAAGTGTTGAACTGGCGTGAACATGCAAGTACTCAACGCTACGTTGCACACGCGCACTCTAAGTGTTTCACTGGATATTTGGATACTATTAATAAGTGTACATTTGGACAGTAAATGTTTAACATCAGGGTTGGCTATGAAGCTTTGGATAAAAAGTGTTCAAAGTGTCCAAAGGGGCATGGGCACTTTATAGTATTCAAATATACCGTCAAACACTTAAGAGTGAGCAACATGTGTTGAGCACTACTTGCATGCCAGTTGAACATTTCATTTATCAGTGTAGGGTGTGTTCGTTCTCTCTATACCATCCTAGCACGATTGAAAAACTGTGTTGTAAAAAATCACAGACATTAATTGCGCCTAATTTACGGAAAGACCATTGACCGCGGTAATTCATAACCTCACTGGAGGCACCAAGTTATTGCCAAGACGATTGCTGGCAGCCCCACCCCCTCCCTAATGCCCCGAGGTTCCTTACGCTCAACAAAAACAGAACTTTGTTCCTGTTGTGTACTTTTTTCCTCTTTTCTTCACGGGACACAAAGAAATGTGGGTTGCCTCGTCGAGCTTTCACCAGTTTCGGGGCGATAATGAGAGGACGATGAAAAACGGCCAAACTTGGACGAGAAATGCATCACTCCAGGAGACAACGACACACCAGCATCCAACACACTTAGTTTCAAGGTAGGACAATACTTCTCACATTAGCTGAAACCATAAATGTTACTTGGGGGTGGTCGGTTAATGCCTTATATAATAAAAATTGTA